GGGGGGGAGGAATAGAGAAGGAGAGTAGAGAGACGAAGAGAGAGAGAAAGAGTTGGCAAATGTAAAAGGATAAGGAAATAAATTATATTCCCTATTTAATTCTTAATATAAAGGAATCATTTAAAATTTATTTGTATATAATTAATAAATTATATATGTCCATATAATTAAATTGAAATTTGAATAGGGAAGGTAATAAAATTTCATATTGTGTATAGGAAGGTAAAAATCCAAAAGAAAAAATATGATTTTTGTAATACATAAAACTTTTACTATTTTTTATTTCACCCTGTCAAAGAAAGGCTTAAGAGAATGACTATTTTGTCTTGTTATCCCAAGTGGAGTTGAATTACATGTTCACTTCTATTTAATCCGAATCCAAAATTGTTCCAGCTTCATAGGGTGACACGTTTCACTTCTATTTAAATCTGAACCCATGTTACTAATCTAACTATCTTTTTTTACACTTTATTACAACCTTTGCGAAAACAGAACCGGAAAAAAAGAAGACTAAACGGCCTTCTTTTAAGTTTTAACATTCTCAACTGTTGCAGATTGCTGGGTTTGTATGGTTTAGACAGGACACAGGTAAGTAATTCAATATACTAGTTTAGGTTTTTTTTTTTTTTTTTTTTTGGGTTGCAATTTGTATGATTTTTCTGTTTGTCCAAGCAAAATTTTCAGTCTTTGAACACTAAACGAACACAAAATTGAAAGAAATAAAATGTTCAACCTTGGTTCATGGTTTCTGCAATTTCTATTCGTTATCTTTATATAAATAAATAAATAAATCATAGTTTTGCAATTTGTATAATTTCTGTAACATGTTGTTCAATTATAAGAATTAATTGTACCCTACAATAGATATTCCGAAGTGGTATCATTGGTTCTATGCTATGCTATAAATTTTCGGATGACTACTTTCAACTTTTTTGTTTTACATTCAAAATACAACCTTTGGTTCCTATTTTTATTTTATTTTTTTTGGTAATTTGTTTAGCATGTTCCAAAGTTTGGATTTTTTTTTTTTTTTTTTTTACGGTTGTTGGTAATTGGAAGTTAATTTGTTTGATACTGGGTGCAAACAATTTCTGAGGGTCATCGGACTAGGTAAAACCTGAATTAACCGTGGTGCACTTGCGGGAAACTCCTTGCCGAGGGCCTGTGCACCCCCGGGATTAGTCGAGGCTCATAGAGACTCGGACACCCGGTGCAAATCAAAATAAAAAATAAAAAAAATTGGTGATTGGTGATGTTGTATGCAGAGGCGGATCCAGGATTTAAATCCTATGGGTTTAGCTTTTAAACTTTTTATTATTGAACCCATTATATTTTTAAAGTTATGGTTCATATCTACTATTTTTGCAATTTTAATAAATTTTTACATGTAAATTTTTACTCGGAATCAAAAGTTATGGGTTCAATTGAACCGGTTGATAATACGCTAGGTCCGCCCCTGGTTGTTTGCCCCTTATTCGGCATCTATCTTATTTTTATTGTTTGTTTGCAGTAGTATTTAATTGCTGCATACAACAGACCACTCCCTTCTCCGCACGGGAGCTTAGCGCATCGGGGTTTGCAGCAGTTAAAATCTGTGAAAGTTGTATCTATCTAACTGCAGTCAGATGGAAGATGTTCTCCCTCTGTGTGACCCTCCCCGCAGCCTGTACTTCGACATTGCAACCGTTACCTGTCAGAAGGGTAGGCAGAGCTTGAAGACTGTGGTTTCCATTTTCAATAAGATTAAGAGGGTGTTTCCAGATGCAGACCATGTTCCATCGACCGGTGGTAGTAAGTCTTTTTTACCTAAAGATTGGCCTTCTTGACTTGAAATTTTGATATATATCACATACCAACAGATAGTTAATTTGGTAATCTTACTACTACTGGGCGTACCATGAATCCTAGTCTTTGAAATTGTGCTTTTTAAGATAAGAAGATACATTTATTATGGCTGATACTGGAATTAGTCAGTTCAGTAGCAAACTGAAGTGGGGCGGGGTGGGGTTTACAAACACACTTCTCTACTACACTATTGGGCAAATTTCAGATTGTACTAGGTAGCTGGAACTTAAGGAATGCATTAGTTTGACATTGTAGTCAGTGTGTTATAGTGTATCAGGTTGGTGCATGCTTCTGCCGTAGTCGTTCAGTTGTAGGATTTCCTTTGAAGTTCTTTTTTAAAATAAATTTCTGTCAGGTGGTACAATCTATTCCTACCTCACTTATGAAGAGTTAGACGATTCGTTGTTATTTCTAGCCCACTTTATACTTTTGCAGTTTTGACATGCTACAATAGCAAAGATATTCACTAAACATCCTGGTTAACCATGCTCAGAGCTTTATACGGTATTTTTCTAGCTTGGATGGCAGATGAATGCCAAAATTTCTTTGCTGATACTTTGGAGACAAGAAGTTGCTATCTTTAGAGTTTGTAGTGGTGATTTTCTTGGTGTAAAGTTGCCCTTTGTGCTTGTTCATTGTGTTGGTGTGCTCGGTTTTGTGTTTTGGTAACTTCCTTTGAGATGCTGAATATGTTTTTCTCGTGTTTCTTTCATGGCTTCTCAGAGAGCGTAATGACATATGGTGGATTCTTTTTAGTAACATTCCCTTGCTCTGCATGATTGCTGCATTCTTCAAATTAACGGGTGATCCAAAAGTTTACACGATCTTCCTTATTCTCAACATAATGTTCATACCGTGTGGCAGCATTATTCATACTGTTGCGCTGCTCACTGTTGTTTATTGGCATCGCGACATGCCTTTTCAGTTAATTGGAGCCAAGGTGAAATTTATGATTGAGGTCATTCCTATGATAACTGCAGCAGCCTTGCATCACTTTTTGGAGTTCAATTACGGGTATCTCAATCTAGTACTATGCTGCACCACATATTTTTATACCTATGCCCACTTCCTTCACGTAGCATATGATATTGGAGGAATAGACGTATTGGTGGGATTAGTAATGCAGGTTGTTGGTTACATGTTGAACGTAGAATTGTTAGTTAGAGCTTTGGCTTTGAGCTTCTGCTTTGGTTTATCTTTCTATAGATACATGACATATTGTGCTCCTGAATTACCTGCACATCATAAAAAGGAGTTGGAGCAGTTGCCTTGCTGATATAAAGGAGTTTGTTAGAGGGCTAATTTCGTCATGTGATGAGTCTTTGATTCACACATTTATTTTAACTTTTTCTTATAATACGTAGATAGAGACCTGAACTTAAACAGTCAATCTACTAGTATTTTATTTGCTTGCAGTGAGAATTTAACCTATAACCACCATTTTACAGCACGTCATTGAAAATCACATGTTTTTAAGACGTCATTGAAAATCACATGTTTTATCATAAGTGTGATAACCTACCAAGGAAACGTGTTTGCGACCATAAAAACGAGACATCATGCATCCTTTAAAAGAGCAGTAATAGAGTGGAATTAACACAATCAAGTTGTTCTACAACTTCTACGTAACAACTTTATCACTACCGAACCATTGCCATATTACCGACCTTCAAAAGTCTTAAAGTATCACAGTACTACAAAAGAAAATTCAGGGGTACCTATCCCACCAACCAAAATAATAAGAACGATGGAAACCAATTGACAAATTTGAAAATTGGCAATTTTTAAGTAGTGACCTAAACAACTCCACTAAGCATCAGCGGTATAAGTCTCAACAGCATCACGAAGGGCCTTCTTCCTACATTATTAACAAAACAAAAATTTAACACTAACTCAAAATATAATTATTAACAAAACAAAAATTTAACACTAACTCAAAATATAAAAGAAACACATAGATTCATTTAAGCAATGTCAATACCTCGCAGCAATAGCGAAAATAGCCCTAGTCTCCATATGGGCTCTGGTAAACATAAGGAAAATGGACACTGCCGTGGCAACCCAAGTCCTCCAAGAATAGTGATAATCTCTCAGCGAGATAGTAAAGCTAAGTGCACATAACGGATAAAATGATCACATGTCAGTGCTGACGGGCCTCAACATCATGACGAGGGAAAATGAGCCCACCGGTGCAAAGAGTACTGCCCAATAGATACAATCACCGGCAGGCTGTCTAGCGTCCAGTGAAAGAACAACCAAGAAAAGTAAAACTGGGCCAACTAAGTTGCAATACTTAGCATACTTCCTATTTTCTAGAACTGGTATCTCCCCATTCTCATAAAAGTAAACCGCCACCAAAATAGCAGAAAGCATCATGAGAGTCCCGACAAGAATGTTGTCCTCGGGATGAGCTTGCTCAACAGCAACAGCATCCCCAAACAACAGGGCAACAATGCCTAGGTACACAACCAGAAAAAGAGAGATCCATAGCTTTTTTTCTTTTTCAGCCTTCATATACATAGACCCTAATGCGTTATTATCGCCATGGAAATGAAACAAAAATTATTGACATAAGAAAAAGTTTTTATTTTAACTTCGGAAAAGGGCCAAAAGTATTCCTACCGTATGGTAAATGGTTTATAAAAGCCCCCCGTCCATCTATCCGTTTGAAAATATATAGGAAGTTATTTCTAATATCAAATTTACCCCTGCGACTAACGGAATTCCATGTGTGCATCTCATTAACTGATGTGGCCTTTTTTCATTTGTCCACGTGGATCAGAGGGGCTAACATTATCTTTGGGTATTTTTTTTACCCATTAAACCGATCCGACCCATTTCTTTTACCTATGGGTCGGTATTTTAACCCTAAACCCACATTTTTACTCGTTTTCTTCCCCAATTTAGAACATAGGTCATCAGTTCCTCTATTCCCCTTTCTTCTTCCCCAAAATTTCTCTTTTACAACTAATTAAATCTTGTCTTTTCCCTTCGAAATGTCTGAAAATTCTGTCTCTTCTGGTTCGTCGCGTCTTTGTGGTTGTGGTTTAACTGCAAATCATTTTGTGGCTAAGACTCAACTGAACGGTGGTCGTCGATTCTACAAATGCCCTCGTTTTGACGAGGCCTCTTCTTGTGGTTTGTGGGAATGACGGGATGAAGAGATGCCACCACATGTGACGATGCTAATCCATAACTTGAATACTTCACTGAAGTCAGTGGAAGTTGAAAGAAATTATCTGAAGAAGATGGTGGCTAACTTGGAAGTTGTTGTTTCTGCTGAAAGACTGAAAATGGAGAAAATAATGGAAGAGGTCGAGGGAATTAATTCAGCAAAATTACAGAAGGTTGCTAGGATGGAGGCTCAACTACAAAATATGAAGTTGTTTATTGTGTTTTCTTGGATTGTCTTTGTGTTAGTACTAGTTTTCAAGATGATGTAGTGTAGTTATGTTATGGTGTAGTTATGTTATGATGCAGAAGTTTGAAGTTTATGTATTATGTTTTGATGAAGTTTGAAGTTTATGTATTATGTTTTGATGAAGTTTGAAGTTTATGTATTATGTCTTTGTGTTAGTACTAGTTTTCAAGATGATGTAGTGCAGATGTTTATGTATTAGTTTCTATTTTTTTTCCTTTTTCTGCATTTGTAATGTTTATGTATTATGTTTCCTTTTGTAATTCTGCATTTGTAATGGTTCTCTTTTGGTATGAAATGAAGTTTGTTAGCATTATCTTCATTTAAATTTTGGTATGAAATAAAGTTTGTTACCCATGGTTCTCTGTTAACATTTAAATTCTGCATTTCTAAAGTTCCACATGCACAGACTATCACAATAACAACTTGAAATCTGTTATAGATAGACAAGAAGAACATTGCCATTAATGGAGTAGCAAATTTACATTGTTTCAAGATTTAAGCCCAACAAAACATTGCTATTAGACAAGTAAATGTGTGATCCAAAAACCTGTAGCACTGTCACAACATTTACTTGTCTAAAAACCTAGAACATAAACAAACATCATGTACTGAACAGTCATGCAAAAAAAGGATTTTAATGTATATTACATTCAGCATTTCTTGCTACACTACTCCCCCTTGACCCTCCCTTTGCCTCTTCTAGCTTTGAGTTTGCCAATCTTTTTCTCTTTCACACCCAA